CCCCAAAACCCCAAAACCCCAAAACCCCAAAACCCCACGCCTAAGATCCTTGATTGAATTTAGACAAATTGGCGGATGCCTTCTTTCAAAGTTTTCTTCATGTATTCTGAGAACTTTGTGTGGTTTGTGGAGTCGCATCCTAGTAAGTATCTTTCCCGGATCGAGTTCTTTCATAATTTCAAATCTATAAAAATCAAAATTATCGAGGATTAACCTCTCAAAATATCTAATAATGAAAAGAGAAGTCAGTTACCTTTAGTGTTTATCAAAGCTTTGACATTTGGAGTTTCATCTTTTTTAACTTGCTTGTTAATACTTGTTTTAAGCTTCTCCATATCAATGGTCCTGAGGCTGAGTGTTTCCAGATTTTTAATAAGATCATCAAATTTGTCCAACTCAGCTTGAGCTTGGGTATTGAGTGATTTTTCAAATAAAAATGCCTCTCTCAGATTTCTTGTATCTCCATCAATTCTTTTGAAGATTTTGTCTTTGAGCTTTGTGACATAAATATCCAGGTCGCTCTGACCGATATCTATAAACTTAGAATGCTCCTTTATTGATGCTTGAAGCAGGTTTCTTCCTTTTTCTAGCTCCTTTCAATACTTATTGGACTCTAGTATTTTGGCTTTGATCTCAGGGTTTTCTTCAACATCTAAGACTTCATGGCCAGAGTGTATAGACTCTTTGATGCACTGTAAGCAGAAGAAGCATGAACAGGTATCTCAGAACAGCTTGCCAGGCTTATCGTGGTCCGGACATTTCTTGGTAAGTTTATTGTCATTTCTAGAGTCAAGAATTTGCTGTTGACGTCTGATCTGTTCTGCCATAAGATTTTTGACTAAATCTTGTTTATGGATCCTCCTTCTTCAGAAAAAGCATTTTGACCTTTGTTTGAAAACTCTTTCCCAACATGGATTGCATGCATTATTTCCTCAGAATCTTCAGATCATTAAGGTTTGTGGATCACTGGACAATCAAATTGTGCAATTCAGGGCTTCATTTTCTACCTCTACTATGTCCTTATGTTCTTCTGTATGGCATTTCTCCATCTTCTCGAAAGATTTTTCCTTTTTCTGTAATTTTTAAAATCAATTATAAGTTCAAATTTCAAAATATAAAAATCTTCAAATAAGCTTCTTTTTGGTATAAATGATCTTACCTTCTTTTCTCCCTCTTTCTGTTCTTTAGTTCTTAAATCCTCAATATGAGGGAAGGAGTTGAGTATTTCATTGATTATACGTTGGTGTGACTCAGCAGTGGTTTCCTTTCTCTCTACATATTTAGTTATAACTTCTCACCTTCAGCAACTTTTAGTTCTTCATCATCAGTATCACTTTCCAGAGAAGATTGTGATGAAAAATCATATCTATATCGTCTCTCTGGAGTGTCATTTCTGGATTCTGAGGCATCTAAACAACTTCTGCTTATAAGTTCATCTATCTCACGACCAATATGTCCATCAGAGTCATAACTATTGTAGATCTGCTCCATTTTAATTAATATATAAACTCCCTCTCAATCCCCCTAATATGAACTGGGGTTTTGGGGTTTTGGGGTTTTGGGGTTTTGGGG